TATAACATCTGATTAACGGTGGTGACATCAGAAGGTTGGAAAACGGGCTCATATCAATTACACCATGCAAAATTTCCTTGTCTTTTATGTAGTTGCAAGAGGACAAAGCTTAGCACGCTATAAGAATTTGGGATTCTAATTTCGAATACGACCAATAAAAACTTCGAAAATATCTCAAACTTCTATACAACACATAAATTAAGGGAGGAAGAAAAAATTCCTGCCTTTTCAGTGATCTGGCTGTATTTTGTTGGAAAATGGTCGAATCTAGACTTTTAAAAAAGCGTTTTGAGCTTTGAGATTCTAGATTTCAGGTTTTTTAGCAGAAAATTATCAGGATCAACGATTTTCAAGCAATTCAAACAAATACCGCAATAGTTTTTTTTATTTTTGCTATCTTTTTAGTCCGCGGACTTGAATTTTTTTCTGTTAGGCCATTACATGAATCAGGTAGTCCGTTTATTCAGCCTCAATATTGTTTTTAAAATCTCGTTGCGATCATTTGGCGCAGAGATATGTGACTTTGAATGAAAAAGGATCCTTTTGTCAACTCGTATCCGATATGATTTGGTTCTTCGAGGTATTTTTTTTGTTTCCCTAGTGTTGATTTTAAAAAGACAAAAAAAGTTACTTTTTGCCTTGTTTTGGTAGCATTTTTGGGACTGCTAATGGGAAGGCTAGTTGTTTTAGATTTTATACCTCAATGTATTGTCACATAGTAATGCATATTTTTTTTTATACCGAAACAGCCGCGCAGGCAGAAGCCTAAATGCCGAGACACCGCGGCTGCTATGATGATCCTCTCGTAGATTGTTCCACAATCTCGGCACCCTCGGGACAAAGGAGCGCTCGTATCGGCCAGTTCTGGATGTACGAAGTTCAACACGATTAGAATGGAAGGCCAAAGTCACGCAGGTATGTCTGGCAGGCACATAGCGCGGCGGCAACATGGAAGAGAGCTCCGAGGAGCAAATCCCGTTGGTGTACCGGTAGAAGAGAGCTAGACCGCCGACAGCCCGCCGGTGCGAAAGGGTTCCGAGATTGTCTGTTAGAGAATAGTCATCGATCAGTCGGGCAGCCCATCTCTGGACAGCATCGAGCATAAATAATGTAGTCCGGGCGGCAGCACCCAAACGTGTGAGCAATACTCGAGGCTAGGCCTTATCTGGGCCTTGTATAGAGTGAGGTCATGTGGAGAGAAGTACTTCTTAGCCTAGCTGTTTCCTAGCAGCTGCCGCTATTGACGAAACGTGTTCGTGCCAGATCGGTGATCTGGACGCCGACTAGCCGAAATGGCAGAACTCGGCCATCCATCGAAACTGGATGAGCACTAGGATGCTTTTTGTTCGACAAGGTACAGTACTGTGTTTTGGAAGCATTAAACTGTACAAGATTGTTGCGTCCCCAAGCAGTGATAACCTCCAGGTCTCTCGTCAGAGATGAAGTCGTCGCTAGTCTTCTTTTTTCCAGCTCAGCGGCAGAGATCGGATCGTCGCTCTGAATTCCTGCATGTAGAGTGCTGTCATCAGTGAAGCTGTGGATTGGGTTGATCGTGCAGGAAAGGAGGTCGTTGATATGTAAAAGAAACAGTGTCGGAGCTAAGACCGATCCCTGGGGAACACCCCCGTTGACGTTGTGGGATGAAGAGGAGAACCCGTCAATTACGACGGATATCTTGCGACCTGAGATAAAGTCAGCCATCCAAAGCTTTTCTAGGAGGCCATAGGATGGAAGTTTGCTCAAGAGCGCAGCGAGCCACAGCTGATCGAACGCTTGGGTGATATCAAGCGCAACGACATGAGCCTCACCATAAGACTGGATAAGTTTGCTCCACAATTGCGTGACCTAAGTTAGGAGGTCCCATGTGGATCGCTGATGCCGGAAACTATACTGCCTGTCGCTAATCAAGCTGTGACGTTCGAGGTAGTCCAGAAGTTAGCGATTTATGCACTCTCTATCACCTTACTTATAACAGAAAGCTAAACTATAGGCCTGTAGTTGTAAGGGTCGGTCTTAGATCCTTTTTTTGGTATGAGTTGGATATTACTAGCACTTGCAATTAAAAAATCCTTAATCTCGAATGAATGTTTGAGAAAGGAAGGGGTTCATAAAGTGATTCAAATTCTAGAGTTGAAATGCTTATAACATATATATTAATTATATAACATTTTTGGCTTCTCAATGTTACTTGCCACAGCAAGAGCAAATCAGAGTTGCGTTTTTTTTTTAAGAGTACTTACAGTTTGATGAAATTTTGACACAAGGTTACTGAAAACGACTAAGCAAAAAAATCCTTTGCTTTCAGAAAATAATTGGAATAGGAAAGCAAGCACCCTTAGTTTAAGAATTACTTACTTAGTTCGACATGTATGCAAAACCATTAGAAAATAAAAATTCTAGAATGTTTCCAAACCTCGCATTCCTATCTAAGAGATATGCATGGGCTCCCACAGGGAGGGGGACAGTGCTGATAATCCGGATGTTCTATATTTTGCATGCTTTTGTGAACAATTTTACGGAATTTTAGTATTTACCCCGTGAGAAAATTTGCTATCCCCCGCTCTTTTTGAGGTCGCTCAGGCGCCCATGGAGAGCTTCCAAAACACAGTACTGTACCTTGACTAATAAAAGGCGCTCTAACGCTTAGCCGGCTGCGATGGCTGGCCGAGTTCTACCAATGAGCCAATTCTTTTGGCTGGTCGATGTCCAGATCACCGAGGACTTGATCTGACACGAAAACGTCTCGTCAATCGCGGTACCTACTGGAAAAAAGCTAGGCTTTTGTTTAGGGCTAAGATGTGTACTTTTCTCCACATAACCTCCTTGCTCTGTAGAAGGCCCAGATAAGACCTAGCCCACTCTACCTAAAGAGGTTTTTCCCAGTTCTACTAACCTTAGGGAGTACAAAAATCGGTGTCTCTAACCTCCTTATGGCGGTCGTGGTGCCCCGGTATTTAGGCTTCGGCCAACGAGACTGCTCCGATATATAAAAGAACACAATATACAGGGTCCGGCATAAAGGACGGATGTTTTTGAATTGGCTAGTACTCTCCGCCTATTCGGGCGAGAGTGGTGGGGAGAGTGGCGTTCGACTCGGGCGTTCCTAGCATTTTTACCAGTAGACATTATGGAACAGTGGACGGTTGAGCACCGGGTTTCCGCGTACGAGAATGTTGTCCTACATGAGTCTATCACGGCTGTACAGCGTGAGTTTCGTCGCCACTTCAATATACATCGGAATCGAGCTGTTCCTCCTCGAAACACACACTCGTGGTGTATTGATCGACAAAAGACCACCAGGAACGAACAGTTCGAACCCCTGAAATCTGCTCGGCAACATGCTGCTGAACTTTTACCCCTACAAATTGTCCATTGTGCAATAGTTACAGCCTGGAGATTACTCACAACGAATGAACTTCGCACGTAAGATGGAAGCAAAGAATCTCATTTTGGTCAAGAGTAATGAAGCCAACTTTCATCTTAATGGTATGGTTACCCAGCAGAATTGCCGTTATTACGCTAATGAAAATCCGGGACAGTTACATGAAAGACCGCTGTACACCTCAAAAGTGACGGTTTGGTGCGCTGTATCGCAAACTTGCATCATCGGCCCTTACTTCTATTGGCAATGCTGTTATCCTGAACTCTGAGCGCTATGTCCAAATCATCACAAACTTCTTTTCACATGAATCACGACGACGACGTGTACCATTCGGACGTGTGTGGTTCCTACAGGATGGGGCGACAGGCTTCGCCTACACGAATGAATGAACGTTATTCGCCCTCTCTTCCGTGGTCGCCCAGGTTTGGTGATGTTCATTGGCCTCATCGGTCCCCAGATTTATCCATCTACGATTTTATCCTATAGACACCTCATGGCTCTTGTATACGAGCAGAAGCCCCGAACTCTGGACGAGTTCAAGGAGGCAATTTGCGTAGAAGTCGCCCAAGTTAAGATAACGATGTTGGAAAGAGAGAGAACTTTCAAGAAGACCTCCAGCAACGCATCGTCAAAAACGGTCACCAAATGACGGATGTGATTTTCCACACTTAATTGTGACTAACACTATTTTATTGTAAACCCGAATCCGTCAATAAATTTGTTTTCGAGTAAAAACTATCGATTTTGTGATTTTTTAAGAACCGTCCTACCTTTGTGCCGGACCCTGTAGTAGTGAGACGAATTTTTCCACGTGTGAGTCACCAAACTATGAATTGAGGCATGTCAGTTGCTCTCCGACCAATTATTTTACCTGAAAAGCTATAAACACCGGAATATTATTTAATTGAATCCAATGTCATGAAAAAACTTAATTTCCATATTTTTCAGTATTTGATCACTCATCGATCCGACCAGTCATATCTGGTTTCTCTCAGTAGGTGGCACATAAAAGCATCTCCCGGCACGAAAGTCGCGTTGGTATCTTTGGGAAAAATGACTGCAATTAGCATCATTGGGTGGATGATAAGCGAAGGCAGAGGAGCGGATGGGACAGAAAAAGAAGACGGAAAAAGTCAAAGAGTGCCCCGAACGAACGTCGTCTGGGGAGTCAATCATAGTTATCAGCGAAATTATACAGGCCGGGGACACTTACAGGCTAACTCCATTATGGACAGGTAGACGAGCAGACGTGTGGGATACGGATAGACAGTGGCGGATGAAACATGATTCTACGGAGAATTTAATTGAATCGGTCATTCCAAAAACTATATGTCATATTTTTTTTAAAATGCTTTTTTACTTTCCACGCCATACCGGCGAGCAAGTATTGTAACCGCGAAAAATGAGATACACGCATACTGTACCGGAATCTTTGAGCATAATTTTCACCAATTTCCAGCAGTTTGATTAATCTGAAACATCGCACACGTTTCAAGGACCAATGACAATGCAATAATTTGATAACAGTTTTCCATTATCCTCATAAGTAAAAATCTGTAAAAAGCAGATATGTTAATAAAAAGCCACGGATATGAAATGCCGCATATAGAAACTACAAGCCTCTGTAGCTCAGTGGCAGAGTACTACTCATGTAAATCATGGTCGTGAGTTCAATCCTCACAGGAAGCAGATTGTGGTATACCTTTCTTTATTTTTTTACCACGCTTTTTTATTTTTTTATTTTTATTTTATATATTAGCTTGGCCTGTATGTATGTACCGGAATCTTTGAGCATAAATTTCACCAATTTCCAGAAGTCTGATTAATTTGAAACTTCGCACACATATCAAGGGCCGATGACAATGCAATAATTTGATAATAGTTTCCCATTATCCTTATTGGAACCACCAGAATTGATATTCTTTTATAGATCCTCTGTAGGGGAGAAAGAGAGATAGAGCTAGCGCGCAATCTGCGCATGCGTGCCGTTTCGGACTTACTCTTTGTTGGTAAGAGTACTCGGCACAACACAACGGAGGCAGATACTTTTTCGAGGTACTGCATTCTCACCTTGTTCATTGCGAATGTTGCCAAGATTCAAGGTTGTTCAGTCGATCATGCGGTCATTTAGTTAACGGGAAAAAAACAATGCAACAGTGAAGCTTTAAATGAAATGATTAGATTATGAAATGATTCGTAAGAAATAACAATACCACATGTCCATAAAAAAATAATTGATAGATCGAACTAAAAAATTAAAAATAAATTATAGTTTAAAAAGACTAAAAATACGCGTTTATAGCTAACCGAACTAAAAAATAGAAAATAATTTTTCATTACAAAGAGTTTATATTAGTAGATGGTCGAACAATCAATCATAATTATTTTTTTTATATACTCCAACTACCAGGAAGGCCTAAGGCCTAAGCACCGATTGGGTACCGTGGGGCTATAGGGGGGGGGGGGGCGACACGACACGGACTCTGGCGAGGGAACACGTGTGCATGCAACATGCACACATTCTGGCTCCGCCTATGACCTCAAAAGAAAATTATAATAAAATTTAAGTTATTAACAGAATAATTCTATTCAGAGTAAAAAGCGTCTGGTGCATTTTACTACATTTTCATAACTCGCCTCTCATAGATAGTTGCCAATAGAATGCTTGTAACATTTAATATTTCAAGCACCCCACGCTTTTTGATCCGAATTGAATTATTCTGTTAATAACTTAAATTTTATTATAATTTTATTTTGAGGTCATCCATTATGACTGACCATCCACTACTGTAATATAAACTCTTTGTAATTGAAAATTATTTTTTACTTTTTAGTTCAGTTAGTTAGAAAAGCGTGTTTTTTTAGTTTTTTTATACTATTATTCATTTGATTGTTATCTGACATGTACACCATGAAAAACCATGTCACTCTCTTCCATCGGTCTGTCCGCTAATCCTTCGACCCCCTATAACTTGGAAAGTACTGCTCGGATTTGGTTGAAATTTTCACACAAGGTTACTTATAAGCCAAGGATGAAAAATCTTACGTTTAAATAAAAATTGAAAACTTCGAGATGAGGGGTCATGTGATACATTATTTTCTCCCAACTAGCAAAGTAGTGCTATAAGCTTTTGGTAAAAGAACCATTCAGCCATAAAAGCTCTCTATTGTTATTGCCTGAACACCAAAATGCTGGCTTAATGTTGTGTGGAATGCAAATTTGCTTTCTGCAATATATGTACTCTAAAATGAGGTGTTTAAAATATTCTTTAGCATAGTTATACAACACCTTATAGGACAAATTTTTAACTGTTGCATAGACGTTTATACAACTATTTTATACGGCATATTTACTCGTTAGTCAAAATGGTTGTGTTGTGGCATCCATGGTAACGTTTATAAAACAAACCCGAGCCTTGTTGTTTTGCTAGGCATATTACTACTTTAGCCAACAAGTTGCTCCCAACGGAAGCACTTATACAACTGTTGTTTAGTAATTGTTACAGGCTGTACATATGCTAAATATGTTGGTAACTTCACCATAACCTAACTTTCTGCTATCATATTTTTGTTAAAATGCCATAACCAATGATTTAAGACAAACAACGCATGCATATTGGTTCAAAAGGTTTTATCAACTGTTCAAACAGAAGATATACATAGATCTGGTACAAATTCTGGGTAAATCATTGGACTCTGTCGGTATTTCATTTCAGACATTTGTCAAATTGTTGTATAACACCTGCAAACAACACCAAAATATTCTAATAAACTGAAGACAACATGGACGATGCCATGATTATACACAACCACCAGCCATATTGGGCAAACATTTATTCCTCTATTTAATATTAAATAATTATGTTTCAGTTCAAAATTACAGATATAAAGTGATAAACATTTGTGTAATTGTGTCTAAATGTAGGATTTATGGAAGATTTGACACAGATAAGTTCAGTTTTGCATCTTAAAAATCTAGACATACTTTTGATCATTATCAAAATATGCATGAAATAAGAAGCCCGTAGAAATTGCGTAAATGCTTTGCACGATAATCACAATAAAATTTGCTGCGCAAGTAATTCAATAGCCCTATATCACAGTGTAGAAGTTTATCATATACCTGTGTATGAAATTCACAATGGCCGATATGTAAGTAAACAAGATGACTGTAATGTATTAGTTATATATTCTTCAATTCGTCTATGCAATACATAAGAAATAGTTTGGTTGCAATAAAGTAGAATCACGTAACAGAATAGTTGTCAAAAACTGAATCTTGCACTGACGCAAATGTCCTATAGTGGCTGCAAGGGGCTTACACTTTTGTTGTATAAATGTTACCTGCAGCCCTTATACAACCTCTTAAATGACTGAAGTGTCCTATTAGGTGTGCCCATTCCGCTTGTATCGCTGTTCTAAGAGGGTTTTGACAATGTTCTTACAGTATACAATGCTGTGTAAGGAATACTGTATTAACATTTTTGCAACTCTAATAGGAGTGATAATTGTTACTTGGGCTACTATTTTCCAAAATGGAAAACTGGACAACGTTTTTGTATGTTGAATCGCTTGTAAATCTACAACTAGTTATCAAACGTTATAGTATCATAAATCAATCTTCTTGTTTTGAAAGGGTCTATCTGAATATGATACATTTAGTTTGAACCAAATTGACAGATTTTGACAATCTTTTTAAATACAATGTTTCATATTTTATTACATATTCGGATAGACCATTTCAAGAGAAGATTAATGTAGCATGCTATAACTGTTTGATGATTGGTTGTTGAGTCATAAACGACGTACAAAAATGCTAATTTTTGGCAGCCTGTCAATTCGCCATTTTGACACATGCTGATTTTATATTTTAGTGTTATAAATTACCCGTAAGAAACTGAAAAATGAGGTATCACACGACCTCTCGTTTTATTCAAAAAAAATGTTCCAAAATAGCGCTCCGCCGCCATCTTATAAGCCGAAATATAGTATTCATTGCATCAATTTAATTTCTTCGAATTTCGGGTTGCTAACTTGACCCGTTCTAAAAATGAGTACGGGCGGGGAGGATTTTTGAATATCACTGTATGTGCAAGACCGTCTCATTTCGGATGAAATTGTGGCGTAACCGCCAAAAACTGTCAAAAACTGTACATTTCTTCCTCTTCAAATAAGACAATATAACGTAATACACGTTCATTGCAAAAATAGTTCAACTACTCGATTATTCAAAAAATGTGTTATTATACAATATGTTTGTTCTTGAAAAAGGAGTAAAATCAGCTTTAAAAAGTTGAAATCGACCCATTGGTCACGACGATGTTGAATAACCTTTTTGCAACATGGCGGCCATTGTTAAGTATGGCATCCAGACGACCATGATTTGGATCTCGAGCTCAGATTTTTTATACACTTCAATAATGTCACGCATTCAAACACTGAGGGGACATAGCGGCACATGGGACCTTGTGGTTTCGATACTGAAAAGAAGTCTACGTCTAGCCGGAAATGGGGGATAGGCCAGGTCATAATAGTTATCAGAAAAATAAAAAAAAAACTAAGTCGTGTATTGTTCAAATTATAGGCTTTAAAAAATCGGAAAAAATCTGCATCTTGTGGTGATGTTTTAGTTCCAATTACTACAAATTTCAATTGTTCTTAGATGGAGTGACGTAGTGAAGTACGAAAGGCAGATAGTAGCACCACTTTTATTAATTCGTGAATGTATTTATTAAATTCAGAATAAATATTCAAACTTTCTTCCTTCAGCAGCAATGCAAGCTTGACATCTTAAATTGATTGGGTTATGAGACGGGCGAATCTCCCGATATTAACAAATTCCCCTGCTTCCGTTATACTGTCCCGCTCAACCAAATTTTCGATTGGTTTTGGGTAAACTTTTTCCTTCATCGTTTCCAGTAAAAAAGTCTAGTGAATTCAAGTCAGGTGAACGGGCTGGCCACCAAATTGTACCACACCACCCTATCCATTTGCTCGGCTATTCCGCATCAAGATAATATATTCATTGACTGAACGGGCATAGTGCGCTGGGCAGCTGTCTTGTTGGTACCAGATGCCTCTTTAAATTGAAGACACAAGTGGATAAAGGTGTCCTGTGACATTATTTTAAAAATTGCTTTTTTGCATCAAACTAACCTTACGGAGTGATTCTTTCACTATGTGATTACTTTGTTGCAAAAACAAGATAATAACAAACTAATTAAACTAAATATTTAAAATGTCAATAAACTAAAAAGTCCCGATAAAAAATGTTCAAAGTCAATTTTCTCCAATAAATGAATTTGTTACACAATTCTTAGAGGCTCGTTTTCCAATAAATTTCGTAAATGATTTTATAAACAGTCTAAATAAATTTCGCCATTCAAGAACTCTGGCAGCTCAAAAGGTACAATAATTCTCTCATTTAGAATCCCGGTCCACATATTCACTTTAAAGCAATACTGTGATCTATCTTGTCTCATCAAATATGGATTTTCTACATGCCACTCGTGTAAGTTGTTTAGATTCATCTCACCATATTTTTTGCCGACTCATCAGTCCATGTAATTTTCCCTAAGAATCGCGTATTTTTTCGGTGTTTCTGTAACATTGTTTAACAAAACTCAACTCTTGGAATTGGAAGATATTCCCGGAGTTGTAAAGATTGTACTCGCTGTACGTGGTATGGG